ATTGCCCCAACAGTGGGCACAGCATTAACCCCGTTGGCCACCTGGGCACACTCCGAGAGCGCTGTTGAATGTGTGTGAACACAGCCTTGTTTTGCTAAGTGCCCCCAGACCGAGTGGCGTGCACGTTGTAACGTGAGTCGTGTGAGCAGGGTTAATGCCCGGGCTCTCAACAGCTGTTGCCTAGTTTCTGCCACGTGTTTTGACTCTTGTGTGTGTATATATATTAATCACGGTCACTGAGCAAATGCCCGTAGGCTCACAGTGTCAAGCAGCATCATGTAAGGTACAGTATAATCATCATTATCAAGATCCATGCATGGGCAGATAGCCCGTCGGTGTCCACTGCACATTTCGTCACGAGTTTCCACTTTTCCTCCGTCTTGTGCCAATATGCTCAAGTCGTTGCCACATTTAATTTCTCGCACAAAGAGTCAGTACGTTCCTTGAATGGAGCAAAAGCTGTAAGAACTTGGGAAAGGAAACGGAAGGGAATTCTCAGGTGCCGCAGTGCAAGGGGAACAGACGGCAAGAGAAGTCTTGTGAGCGGCGGTGCGGTGGATGAGATGGAACCTTCACCCTGGTGGATATATAGTGCTCTCAACACGAGTGCATACATTAACGAGCGCAATTCAAGGAAAGATTACCATTGTAAGTGGCGATATAATTGATAAGGAGACGTGCATCTTACGTCTTTATTGTATGGATGCTGGCCTTAATAGGTGCTTACTAACAGCACATGCCGGTAGTCTATAAGGATAAACGGAGGGGGGGGGGGTCTTTTGTATGTGTACGTGTACACATATATGTTTGCATACTTTATATGTAAAAAACTAAATTCTTCTGGGTGTTACAGAGGCAGAGAAATACCAGTCTCAGACTTGCACACTGGCTACCCCACGCCCTCGTCTACCACGCCAGCCATCATCCGCACTTTCCCCAAGGCTACGCGGGGTATCTTCGTCTTGTGTGGGTATACGTGCATATGTGAGCGGTGGTGCAGCGGTTAGCGCTACGCTGCGCTACGAACCCGGCGACTCCAGTGACGATTATCTGAACCGGTCACGGGCCTCCCCTAGGTCGACTCAGCCTCAAATGAGTACCTGGCGCGGTGTTTAAACATCACCACTGGGGAAACAAAGGCGGCCGGGCGCGTTGTTGGTCACCCACCCCTCTTCGCGTGCCGTGCCGGCCTTAATAGGTGCACTTGCTCGAACAGCCTGCTCAGGCTATACGGGGGGTGGGGAATCTTTATCTTTGTACGTGTGAACACCTGTGTGTGTGTGTGTGCGCGGGTCTGTAAGTGTGGTGGTGGTGGTGTTAAGGTGCACAGGTGGCACACACATGGACCCCGGGCTCACAGCCCTGCGTTCGCACGCACGCAGAGTAAACAACACGTCCGTCTGTTAAAACACATCGGTGCTGCTGCTGCTGCTGCCTGTTAATTGATGTCGGCCAGCTTGGGCTGACGCGTGAGCTCGCGAGGTGCACGGCCAAACACAAACGAAGGTGGCCGTCAGTCAACGACAGCGTTCTTCACTCGTTTTCAGAGGGGGTACGTTCGTCGATAAGACATCGTCAGTGTGAAGGGTCGCCACACCATTGGGAACCATTGGGGGTTTGATAGGGGTGCGTCAGGGGTCACACTTAAAGGGGCTGTACATATATGACGTCACGCACTTAAGGGGGGGGGAGTCAGATATTTGTGACGATGTGTGACGATGGGGGGGCGAGGGGGGGTGAGAAATGTGACGTCACATCAAAATGCGTAACTTTAAATAAATATAGACAAACACGTTCTACTTAATTAAATAGACGTTTTAATAAATGTTTTCTCCTACAACATCAGAGTGCAGCGCCACATTAAATACGCACTACAGTGACGATAGTTTAAAGCGATTTGAAGCATGTTTTATTTTCAAAATGGAAATATGTTTTTTGGGGGCGGGAGGCAGAGCTTTGTGACGTCATATTTGAGGGGGGTCTGACTTTTTGTGACGCCGTGTGACGAGGGGGGGGGGAGTTCAAAAATCGTCCAAAATCGCGTGACGTCATTTATGTACGGCCCCTAAGGGCACCAGAGGGTCCCCGCGGTCCTTACAATGAGGACCACTGGTCTACGAGAGATACATCCGTGTCAGGTGGGGCACATCAAGGTCACGGCCAAATCTGACGATGCACAGAGCGCCATCGCCTCCTTCCGATAGCAAAGCTCGTATCGCGGCGTGACGGCTGGTCGCTGGTTAGGTCTGGTCGCCACATCTGAGGTATATATATAATAAAAAACGGGACATATCGTCGTAAGAAATTCTCACAATGACAGACAAGAGGGGAGAACTGCACGTAAATGCATTGTCTTGAAGTGCGCATTATTACACAGCTGACAAAAACAGGACTTGCCCCAGGAGGACTTACACATTTCCCAGGGCAGCTACCTCAGAAAAAAGTGTGATCGTGTGAAAACCAAGAAAGGTGGAAATCCTGCTGGGACAGTGAGCAGGATGTCACTATGTTGAACTCATTTTATACCGTAAGTAGCCAACCGTGCTAATCGGATTAGCTACTCTCCTTCTCGTGTTCACAGTTCCTTGTCCCACTGGGGGTTAATTTGCCTGTGATAATGGTGCATATAACCCTTGTTCCACCAGAGATTTATTTTCCTTTGATAATGATTCATATAACCCTTGTTCCACCAGAGATGTATTTTCCTTTGATCATGGTGCATATAATCCTTGTCCCACTGGAGATTCATTTTCCTTTGATAATGGTGCATATAAGCCTTGTCCCACTGGAGATTCATTTTCCTTTGATCATGGTGCATACGTAGTGGAATAAATAGGCGCATGGGGGTAATTGGTGAGTTTGCGCGGGAGCAGGACAGTAGGGGGTCATATTGGGACGATGAGGTAACGATTGGGCCAATTAAGCTGGGGGAGCCAAGGCCGGCTGTGATTGGCTGGTGTTGTTGTCAGGGCTGGAGTGTGATTGGCTGGTGTTGTTGTCAGTGCTGAGGTGGCGTCTTGAAGTCTGGCGAGGTAACACGTGCACGGGCACGCGGAGCGCCGTTGGGACGCGGGTTAATTAATTGGGGTGTGATGAGAGCGGGGATAAATTGGGGAGACGTGAGGAGAACCGGGAGTTGGAGTCGGGGGCTGGACGAGGCAAGACGTGGAGCAGCTGAAGAGAGAAGTAGCCAGCAGTGGAGAGAGCATAGTGATAGCGAAGAGCGGAGAACAGAGACGAAGCAGTTAGCAGTGGAGAGAGCATAGTGATAGCGGAGAGCAGAGACGAAGCAGTTAGCAGTGGAGAGAGCACGGTGATAGCGGAGAGCAGAGAAGAAGCAGTTAGCAGTGGAGAGAGCACAGTGATAGCGGAGAGCAGAGACGAAGCAGCCAGCAGTGGAGAGAGCACAGTGATAGCGGAGAGCAGAGACGAAGCAGTTAGCAGTGGAAAGAGCACGGTGATAGCGGAGAGCAGAGAAGAAGCAGTTAGCAGTGGAGAGAGCACAGTGATAGCGGAGAGCGGGGAGCAGAGACGAAGCAGCCAGCAGTGGGGAAAGCACAGAGACATCGGAGCTGACTGAGAAGTGGAGATTGGAGAGACAAAGACGGCGAGCGAGCCGAGTGAAGCACGGCGAGCGAGCCGTGGCAACAAGGGAACTGTGGAGCATTGAGGACATGTGGAGAACTGTAAATAAAGTGGTGTTGGAAGAAAGACAAAAGTTGTCCGAGTGAAATCAACCACTACACCCTTGTCCAACTGGAGATTCATTTCCTTTGATCATGGTGCATATAACCCAGTGTACCCACTGCCTTGTTGAGGACACCATAGCCTTACTGGAGGCTAATGGGAGGTTCATGGCTTCAACTTGAGGAGGAAAAAAAGTCCGCATCAAATGTTCAGCCTTGGGTCAAGAAGCATGCGGATAGTTTCTTAAGCAATGTGAAGTGATGCTGATGATGATGGGCCAGTATTGGGCTCCCACCAAATAAGTTCTCATCGGAGCAAGATTGGCCCATTTGGTAGAGAAAGCGCTCCTGATGAAGCCACTTCCATGGCATTAAAGTAACTCCATGACTCCATCTCCTCGTGTGACCTAAAAGACCATGTGGAATGCTGCAAACCAATTACAATGATCTGGGGTCAAACACTGAAGGGACTGGACCCACGTATTCTTATACAGGGAAATTGCGTTTTCAGGTCCATACGGCGTACAGCCTTTTCAATACGGGCACAAAAAATATATTTGTTCGTGTTTCTCCCTTGTGATGAGACTTTGTAGGATGAACGTTGAGATTTACAATGGCACGGGGTTACCAATAAGGTCTGAATTGGTCTGTAATAAGTTAGGCGCTGATAAGGGGCTGACAGGTTTGACATCTGCATTTACCAACAAACCATCATAGTTCTAACCATCCTACTTGCGAACGTTCGGTCATACTTTCGAACCCGAAGCGTGGAACTATTTTGTTCGGCGGAGCGTTCCTCCCCGAGATGTAATCAGTCCCAGCATCTCGTTGTGGTGCACAATGACAGCGAACCGTTCAACTCAAGGTAAGTGAAAATAAAACAGCTCAGACCCCGCTTGCTTGCCCATCACCCACGTGACTTTACCGAAAGAACCAAAGAGTATGGATTCCTGCAGTCACGAAAGCTTCAAATCAAGATGGAATATAGTTTTTCATGTGACTTAATTTAATGTGTTATGTACTACAAAGAATGTATTGCAGTATTACATGCGGAATGTACAATATCTGTTATTCAAGAGTTTAACAATGCTTATTTTTGTTGTTGTTGAACCTTAACACATTATAACGCTGACCCTACGTGCGGTTAAATACAAAGCATTATTGTGTGCCGACTTACGAACTGCGGCCCAGGAACGTAACCCGTTCGCAAGTCGAGGACTGCCGGGGATTCTCCGGTGCCCACGTGACGACACTTCGCGACAAGTTTTCCCACGCAACTTTACGACACCGGTGTGGGGGGGGGAATTATTATTTCGCGACACAACCCCTTTACGGCACTTAACATGGCGGCGCCCTTGTGATGTTGGGGGTGGTTTGCTGCGTCTCGCGTGGTTCTCCCAACCACGGCTCCTGGGCTGGCCCCTGCAGTCCCCTTGCTGCCCCCTTAGCTGCCCCCTTAGCTGCCCCTTAGCTGCCCCCTGCTCAACTCGCGGGCGTCGCTACTGACGTTGGAAGAATTCAACATCCTGCCGAGGCTAACCAACGAGCGTCGTGCGGCGTCATGGCGTCCAGGTGCGCGGACATTAACGTCCGAGCGGCTTTACTGACCACGCGTCTCTCCAAGAAGCCCCCGCTGGAGCCCAAGCGGGCCCTAGCCCTGCAGGACAAGGCCGGGTTCAAGCGCGAGCCCTTGGGCGGTGAGTGCCTCCCCTCCACGTCTCTCTCGCCCGGTTAATCCCCACGGTCCCCCCCCTCAGCTCCCTCTCTGGGCTCCGGGTTAAATGCGATGCCTGGCGGCGTGGTGTTGTGTGGATTGAGCGACATCTTTTACTCATCTCTGGGGTTTTTTTTTAATCTCTCGGCTTAACGCGATGCAAGTTTTTGGGTTAGATCGCGTACGTATAAATGTGTCGAAAACCTCCACCCGACACAGCCAATCAGTAAAGGATTTGTCAAGTAAAAAAAAACCGCCAAATAGTGAATACTTCAGCCCACCGGCGTGTTGGAGAGTGAATCCACAACACTCTACGTGTTAAACTGCGTGTGGACCGACTGCATATCGTCCCTATGGACTTGCACGCGACGCCAGGCGGCGAGTTGGATGTTGAGGGCTGTGTTGAGTGTTGGGGATGGTGGTAGGGGAGAGAAGCGGGGGAATGGGAAGCTTGGATGCGGGCAAGCGGCAGAGGAACGAGGGTCTCCAGGCGGCAAGGTCAAAGAGTGAATGATAGAGGATGTGGTTGGAGTGCACGGTGGCGAGATGTTACCTACCTCTCGTGGTATGCAGGAAGTTATGGATTCGGTCCCAACACTTGACGCCTGCTTTATATTTGGAGTTTGCGGTGTCTCTATCGTCATCATCACGGTGGCTAGAACATGTTAACTACCTCGCCTGGTATGGAGGATCCCAAACCTGACGCCTGCTGTATATTTGGAGTTTGCGGTGTCTCTCTCCGTGGTCGCGTAGATGGTTTTTTTCTCTGGGTCCTTCAGTTTTTCCCTCCACATAAAAAAACATGATTTTAGATTTACATCATTAGACATCCTTTGCCAGTACCAAAATGTAATAATAGGGGTTTTCCCCTTTTTTCTGGCAACAAAACTGAAACCTTTTTACAAGGATTCATGTCTGCATTAACCACAATACCTGCACTCAAAATGCAAACAAAAAACATACTATGATAATATATGCATTGTCCTTGAAACTGATTGGTCCACACCAAGGGACGGCTTTCTTTTGAGCCTCGACCCAATTGGTGCTCGTCATCTGGTCGAGCACCAATTGGGTCGAGGCTCAAAAGAAAGCAATAAAGCTCTTAGTCACAGGTCCAGTGGGGGGGGGGGGGGGGGGGCGGTTAGCACATTACAACAACAAAGCGCTATCCGTGGTGCTAACGTTTAAAAATAAATAAATACAAACCGCCACTTCTTTCAAATGTTCTTGCCGTTGGTTTTCACACCTGATGATGACTGCTTGTGTTGCAGTCGAAACGTCGTGAGAATTTTATTGTTTTATATTTTTATTATTTTATTGTTTCCCTTCTATGTGACTTTACCGAAAGAATCAAGAATATGAATCACTTCAGTCACGAAAGATTTAAATCAAAACAAATAATACATAAACAACGATAGGAGTGCTAAGTATAGGAAAAGTAACCAAATCACAAAAAAACGTACATTACAAATTATGTGCTTGTATCTTCACCAGGCTGGGTTAGTACTGCATGTCCCTTACAAGTGCATAAACCTACAATAAAAAGAGGGAAGGTTACAGGGACATTGAGGGCATTGGAGGGACATTGTGGTGTGGTCAGTGCCAATTGGTGACAGAAGCAACAGAGTTGGAGAAGCACAGTTCGAGGGTGGGGGAGGCACTACCGAGAATCATAATTATGACATTTAGTTCTGGCCCAGTGCAGTGTAGTGAAATCGCAACCCAGATCTGATTAATCATTGGCAATTTTTATGTCACATATGTTCCAGAGATGTCATTCGCAAAAAAACGTTAATCCAGACCTTAAGCTCAGGGAGTTAATGCCGATGCCAATCGCTTTCGCTGTGTGTTTATTACAGAGGCGACGTGCATCACGGAGATGATGCTGCTCATGGGATGCTGGAGGCTCAACAACTTTACTGACTCGCCGTGCTCCAGCGAGATCAGGGCCTTCTCCAACTGCTCTTCCAAGACGAAGGTAGTGACACGGCGTCCGTCATTCTGGTCATTTTTTTTAAATGTAGTGATACTTTTGCAGTAAAAAAATCTACTTTGCAATCACATAGGAATTACATTCAAAAATGTCTAATACTCTACAGTAGACCCTTGGTTAACAGTGACATCGCTTAATGGTTTTTCGGTCAACGTTTCGCCTCCCATAGGACCCCATGGTTTCGACTAACGTTAACATTTTGACTAACGGTAATGTCATATTCTTAGTTTTTTCGATAAAGTCACGTTGAAGAGAAACAACAAAATAACAAAATATATATAAAACAATAAAAAAAATTCTCACGACGTTTCGACCATAACTCAAACGGTCAGTTATGGTCGAAACGTCGTGAGAATTTTTTTTATTGTTTTATATATATTTTGTTATTTTGTTGTTTCTCTTCAACGTGACTTTACCGAAAAAACTAAGAATATGAATTACTGCAGTCACGAAAGCTTCAAATCAAAATTTTAACGGTAATGTGTTTACGTGATGCACGCGGGTGCCAATTTCGGCCAATCCGAGCGCTCGGAAGTGGGCTGAGCATGGAACGGATTAATGCATTTAACATGTAATTCCTATATTTGATTAACAGTTATTTCGGTTAACAGTAGTTTTCATGGAACAGATTAAAAACATTACCGTGTGACTATTATAATCAGTATGTTACTGCCCTTTCTAAATCCACTGCTGGATGGACGCCTTTAAAAGCATTTCGTATATAGTGTGGGTTTTGACCGTAGTTCACGATGCCGATGAGTTTGGGGGGTTGTATGTATGTACGTATGTAGAACTTCTTTCGCACCGTACATAGCCAACCGTGCTATTCGGAGGTGCGGTTAGTTGAAGGTGGGTACCAGGAGCGATTCAGATATCGCTTGCCATTGATGTTAGCCATGGCCAAGGCAGAACAGAGGTTTACCGGCGTCATAGCGGGGTGACGCCACCGCTCCTGGCAGAGTCACCCTTGAAAAGTAGCTTCTTCGCTCAGAATCAGGATATTTATTGATACTGGAGGAATCTGATGAGCTTTAAAGCTCTTTTTCACAGATGTCCTGTAGGGGCAAGTAAGAACGTTACAATAACAAACAGTACAAAACATTATTGTAGTGCAAAAGTACAAGCTCAATGGGGCTTTACTCTGGAAATTAATTTCTGATTCTGATTCTTCATCAGTGCTAATCTCTCCACTATTAAGGGAAGGCAAAATGCATACAACGCATACAAATCCAATAATGTATTTGTTAAACGCGCTATTTGATGTGTGTATTATGAGCGCAGGAATAGATTTGTATCGATCGATCTAGACAACTGTGCAAGTCAAGTCACCATCTCCATCTGAAGAAATCTTGCGGGGAGCAAATTTGGTGGGGTTGGGGTGGGGGAGAGAAAAGGAAGCAAGTGAGTGAACTGCTGAGACTCAGTCAGTTGTCCTATCACGTTGGTTGTCAGTGATGTCGATTGTCAATCATGTTGGCGTACCTTTGGCGGACCTGCGTGCCGGCTTGCTCATCTCTCTCACAGGCGCAGTTGAAGGACGAGCAGGATGGCGGGAAGCGTACCCCCAGCATGATGAGTCAGAAGCAAGCCAACGCTCTCCTCTCACGCTTTCCCATCAAGGCAAACGTCAGGCGAGGCAGATTCTGGGATCTGGCATCTTCGCAAAAGTCATAGTCCCCCCGATACACCACGACAAGTTTGAGGTGCGACCAGCCTTTTATTTTACGAGATGGCAATGGTATTCATCAGTTGAACATTTTCCAGCATTGCGATAAGTTTATTGACATTGAATGAGGTTCTGCTGGAGTATGGTGATGTCACCTTGTAGGTATGCAATGATGCATGGCTTACAAAAGATCGATTCTTAGGCATGTGATGTACGCCGAAAACCATCTGTGAAATAATCTATTGTTATTCAATAAATATGCAAACGAAGCTGATGTTGCATCGTGGCTCATGGAGCAAACGGAACTGGTACACGACAGGAAAATGAGAAACATTACACACGAGGCAGTAAAAATCAGACATTGTGGTCTCCAAATCATAGCAGTTTGAATTTCTGTGGAGTAAATGGTGACGTCTAGGGCCTTGTATTTTAATAATTAGGCACATGTGTCGCGATAGGGCGAGTTGTGTGCGATGGCGGAAGTGATGTTGGTCAAATTTGTTGTGCACTATAATAAAGGCATTCTCTTACAATACAGCGTTGTAATGTTTTTTAGACCGGAAATTCGAATTTAGTGTAACACAGAGCCTAAATACCTGAGTCACTTTCTTTTGTTCCAACAATAATCAGTCCAATATGTTGTCGATTTATATTTTCCCATAGTTTTGGAGAAGAAGAAAAATCATAATAATAACAATCTGACATTGGTGAAGTAAGTGAACGTAAATGTCGAAGCAGTCATTGAAAACATTACCAACGTTTAAGTCACCGAGCCACGGACAGTTTGAGTTAATGAAAGGGACGAATCTTAATATTACTCGTCACATTCTTAATTAACATTGCCCAAGAAAATAATGTCCAAAGTTGGTGGTCCGAAGACCATAGCTCGTTGTCTTTATTCCCTGGCTACAAAGGGAAATTTCCCAAAAATGTCAGGATGGTTTATTGTTCGTGCTTTTGGACCTCCGACAACGCCGTGTCCCAACGTTACGTTCAGTGAATATGGCCGTTTAGTAGTGTACACGTTTAAACCCACGTCGAATTACGTGTTACACTTTACATTTTTCTATTGCAGGTTATTTCAGCGGTGAATAAGGTTGTTTTCAAAGCCATTCAAGTTGGTTACTTGTATGTGTATACAGTATTGTATACTTGTCTGTAGATGTTTGCTGTAAAAACACATTAAACCTTAAAATTCACATACAAGTCTCACCAACTTAATAATTGGTTTCATTTATTTTATTCTGTCTGCCTGTATTTAATACATGTCAATTAAGGATGGCATTAAATAGATAAAATAAATGGCTGATGATTTTGAAATCAATCTTAATTAAGGCTCAAGTTGTTTTTAAAGGGGTCCGACTTGTTCCATCCAGGATTTTTGGATAATTAATCGAGCCTGCAGAAACCCCATGTATATAGGAGGATGCAATTCACAGCATGATTGTACTACAACTACTGTTATACCTCACTGCAGATGGGTGTCTCGTTAATTTTATTACTCCATCCCTATGTGATCCACCAACCCCAACTAGATGTTGCTGGCTTATTGGCAGGCACCAACACGTTTTGACATCTCTTGTATATATGGCTTATAGAAAATCTTCTTGCATATTCGGATTTAACAACAATCTCCAAATACAAACGTTTGGAAACCTAGCTTCGAAAACTTTAAATGTTTCCATATTTTGAGAAACCCAACGCAGGAGATCCCTGGGTTTAACCTTTCACGATGCTCATAGTCCACCCAAAGCCGCATCTGCACAAACCATGGGAGATTCGGATACCCGGTGCACAAATGTAAAATTAAAAACTCTGCAGTGTGCGACTGCGGTCATCCAGAACAGACCATTCAACATACAGCGACGAATGCCCAATCCACAAATACGAAGGAGACATCACGGCGTTACACTACTCCGCTGCTCCTGATGCGGTTATTTGGCTTGACCACCTGAATGTGAGTTTGTCGTCGTTGCTCTGCATATACATTAGCTGTACGAAAGAAGAAGATATTTTGAGAAGCCGAAATTTGAAAATGTTGAGTTTTCTACTTTGTAGAGCAGACCGGAGGAGAGGTGGCCCAGTGACCTGAGTTCGCTTCCAAGCGATGTTTTAATCAGTCCTAGGCTGGTTCCCTCAATCTTCACCAGTGGCTTATGAGGAGTGGGGGAGGCCTTCATCCTGCAGTTGATTGACAGCTTTCTATAGTTTTTAAAAAATCTGAACTATAATTGTACCATGTGTGAGCTTTGTAGTTTCTAAAACATCACGAGGATTTATGTCCACTAGTAACAACTGTTTATATTTTACATAATATCCGTGGTGCTGGTAACATATATGTTTATTTGTCGGTGCTGTAGGCATTAAGTGTATCCATCTAGTATACATTTGAGGGCCATTCATCTGGCTTGAACACATTTATAGTCATGCGAGGCACATCAGAACTAACCAAAGTGTAATCTGAAGTTGTTTTAGTTTTTTTTTACTTTTACGGTAGAGGAAGGCGGCGAGTCCGTTGTTTGCTTGCAAGTTACAATTTGTCACCATGGATAGAGAATAGGGCATTTTGACCCATGCTGCAGGACTGCCAGGGGAATCAGATGCTTCCTTATTACCTGTTTGGAATGCGCTTATGCACTGATTTCTTATAATCATCATCGTCATCACGATCCTTGGGCAGATAGCCTGTAGGTAGCTTACACCCCAATCGGTATGCTTATCTTCGGGGCTCTATTTAACCAAGCGCATCTTGAGACTAGGAGCAGGTCTTGATGGACTGGTATCGAACTTTACAGCAGCTACGCGATCTGGTGGAGGGAAGAATGCCATGGTGAAATGTGGTTGCATCAATAGCTTTGGCCAAGATGACCTCTTGATCTTGTGGTAGAGGTTGCCAGCGCCGAGTTCGAATCAAGTGTAGTTCGTTAGAAGTCACAGCCGAGTCACCAATGACTGCACATAATTTCCATTACATTTTCTATTTGTATTTCCACTTAATCTGGCAAAAAATTTCCAGCCCTGAAAAACATTTCAGTTGGACTGCTATGCTATGAATCTTTATATCATGGGCTACGGGACAGTGCAGAGCCCACAGCGTGGAAAAGTGGTCGCTTATAGGGATCTCAGAAGTAGTTCTGTGGGGTATCCCCTTTTGTGGGCCATTCTCGAGCGCGGGGTAGCACTGCTCTTGTCAGAGTTACGAGTGGACATTTCTCAAATCTCATGATGACGCCACCAGGGGAATAGATTGTGACCCGTGGTTTCGAACATGATTTCATTCGGCGCAACCCAACATTTGAACGAGTCAAGCTATTGTTTCATGCATAAGTATTATTTTGGTCGTCTGTAAACTTGGCAGAGTGCTCAGTTAGTTCATATACAGGGTGCTTCAAACATATGTTAACGCTTCCGAGGATTTGCAACAATACCGCAAGAAATGTGCTGCTGCTGCTGCTGCCTCCGGGCTCTGGAGACCACTTGGAGAAAATCCCAGGCCACGCGTTGACAACGATGGCGAACAAGTGGAGAGACTCTTTGATTTGTTGAAGCTATTAACATAACATTTGTTACGTTACAGTCTATTATCCGTTCTTTTCCCATTAAAAACGATAGTCCCACATAAGGGCCTTCATCTACACGTGGAGCCCTTGCGTCAATCCGCTTATGTTTTACGCTGGTCTCAGAAAATTACACAGAAAGAAGTTGATTCCTGGAAGCAAACGGTGGGGAAAGGCTGTAAGCAGCTACGTATGTCTGGATGGGAGGATCTCCCAACTAATGGCACAAGACCGTGACACGTGGAAGGTTTGAGTTGCCACCCGCGTGTCGGTGATGTGGGACGGACCGAGTAAGTGAGCGAGCAAGATTTAAACCACCGCATCGCCATGGATCGATGTTGCTCTGGAAACGAAATCAAATAACTCCCAATTGTTTTGGGGGTTTGCGTCCGTCTTTGCTACGGGAGAGATTACAAAAGATGCCGTCCTCGCTGTCTTACGTAAGACGGCGAGCGGGGCTTGCTGTGGCGCCGTGCCGCCGTGCCTGGCGACAGCATTTTGATTTAACACCAAAAATAAAACATTGTGCTCATCAGTATTTACGGCATCCTATTATTAAACACATAATGGGGTTTTGTCTCTCTGTCTCTTCTAACGCTCCTTGCGGTGTGTGAAGTGTGCAGGACTTGGAGATTCGGAGCCGCTTGGTCTCGCCAGAACCACTTGGGCACGACTTGTATTTGCATGTGGGGGGGGGGGTGTGTATGTGGGGGGGGGGGGCTGAGTAGTGGGGAGCCGTAGTGTAGTGGAGCGGAGAGTGTACTGCGCTTTAGTCACATAATGCTTGTGTACCGCGTGTGTGTGTACGTTGCGAATGTGGGGAGCGGTCGTCTTCACGTTTAGCGCATTGCGCTAAGAAACCGGCAACCCAAGTTCTTTCCCGCTCACGGCCAACACCAGGGACGATTATCTGAACCGATCGTGGGCCTCCCCTAGGTCGACTCAGCCTCAAATGAGTACCTGGTGCGGTGTGTAAAACATCGCCACTGGGGAGACAAAGGCGGCCGGGCGTGGTGCTGGCCACCCACCCCCTCGTGCGCCGTTCCGGCCTTCATAGGTACTTGCCAACAGCACTTGCCCCAACCATCAGTTACAGGCTATACGTGGGATCTTTGTCCTGTGTACGTGTACATTGGGCGAGCGGTGACGTCGCGGTTAGCGCGCTGCGTTGCGAATCCGGCGACCCGAGTAAAATTCTTGGTCATCGCGAGCATCAGCGGAGATGATCCGAACTGTTCCTGGACTTCCCTCCCTGGGTTGACTGCTTCCAACGAGAATCTGGCTTGCGGCGTGCAAGCTCCACGGGGTAAAGGGGTGCAAAGGCGCGGGCCGGGTGTGGTGCTGGCCACATCGCCCCCTTCGTCGTATGTTTTCCAGCCTTAATAGGTGCTCGCCAACAAGCCCTTCTTGCCCCAACGGTCCATGTAACGCTCCGCGGGGGAACCTCCGTGTTCGTTTCCGTAACGTGGCGTGTATTTTCGCGGATGCGAAAATGCGCGCGTGATATATTTGTCCTTATTCCTGCCTTGCTGTTTTGCCCTTCGCTATAAACAACATCGAAAGGGGAGGTTGTAAATTAGGTGGAAAGAAACAGCGCAGCTTAGCCTGGAGCCGTGGGGTCATGGGCTCGCAGAGGAAAGCGTCCCCTCTCACGCGATTCAACCAAACGAGAGCCAATTGAGGTGCGTTCTCTTAGGGCTTGGTGGGGAAGGGGGGGGAACCTGGGAATACCGTGGTCATGTACGCGTTTTGGTAAGGCTCTGTAAAAAAAAATCCCGATCTTGTCCTTTGTTATGCCGTACGTTTTAAGACCCAGATCGCCCTTGCAAAAAGAAAAAAAATGGCACTTTTAGTCTTAATCGGTTCCTTACGTGTTGCAAACGAAGACTCGAATTACAGCGACTTGCTGACCTCCCCAGACTGATAAGTAATCACGAACAAAAAAACCGCACCACTTAACCTTGCCTAAATAGTCAACTTGATTCGTGCCGCCTTTAGTCACACACGTCCGTGTACAGCCCTCATCAAACCACTGCCGGATGAAGGCCGGCACGGGGCGGTTCAGGTGGGGAGCATAAAGACGGAGGCATAGTACAGTCCCACAATGGATTTTGCTGCACTGCCTACCGCTGCACACCGCAACGTGACAACATACGCCGTGTGTGTGCACAACCTCGTCATCCCACCGAGTCAGTGAAATGATAAGTGCTACTTTTGCGGAGGTGCACAGGACTCGGTTCTATGGCGAGGTCACCCGTGGCATTGGAACGTGGATTTTTCCACCATCGGGCTCACGGTCACCGTAGAGATTTGCGCAGCGCCTTTGATTCATAAGAGGTTTTTTTTTGGGGGGGGGGGGGTTAGATGGTGTAAATATATAAATGTGTCGTTAAACCCGCCACCACCCGACACAGCCAATTAGTAAAGTTTGTCACGTAAGCAAAACGTGCCAAGTCGTTGCAGAGTAAACAAAATATAAAAAATTCGAGTACTCGAATTGTTAATGTTGTTTGTTTACACACCAATGTGCTGAACTACACACGAATTGGCACATTTTGTTTACGTGACAAACATTACGGATTGGCTGTGTCGGGTGGTGGCGGGTTTAACGACACATTTATATTGACGCAATCTAACCCAACAACCTCGATTATCGATAATATTGATCGTGAAAGCCTACTGCTTGTTCAATTCCTTTGATTGCTTAAGTGAGAAGACATCGACGATTATTCATGATAAATGAGA